TTTGCAAGGTAAAAGCAGCTATATGTATTATTTTTTGAAGCTAATTCCATGCAATATTAGTCAGAAGAGTCATTTCAAGATTTGTTTGAGGAACAAGTATACCGTTGTTCCATTGACCTTATTGTAATTGGACCAATTACTGATCAGTCAAAAGTAATAACAGGTATCAATTTAATAATTTTACTATATAATACTAGTTTCATGATAGCACCAATTAAGTAAATTAATTATCAATAATAGATAGTGACCTTTTGTAGCATATGTATATGACCATTACTAATTTCATGTTATTGTTAGCATTATTGTCTGTGGTCATAATAATGTTTTTTAATAGCTAACTTGCTGCTTGAAAAGCTTTATGCACCAGACAGATGCTTCAAGAAAGATGCTATTCTAATGGCTATACGACCTTTGAAGATTGGAGCTGAATCAAGAACAAACCACTTCATTCAATATCAACCATCAAAAGGGTAAAGTGTAAATTATACTTATGACTCACTGCTGGTTAAATTTCACAGTATTTTTAAGGAGCTTAAAGACGAGGTCAATTCAATATTGGCAGATAATTGTATCGTTTATTCAGTTAATCCAAATGGTAAAGTTGAAGAATGTGATTTGTCTCAAGCTGTTGCAGTTCCATTACCGAAATTGAATCAATCTAGAGGTGTGCCACAAGATGAAAACCCGTATGGAATACAAGTTTATTGTAATGATGTTCCTTGTATATATGAATTTCGGCTATTCCAATACATTGGATGCCATAGGAATGAATAATACTTTTGTAATTTAGTATTGATTTTTGATATTGATTTGTTCAAGATAGCTTATTATGACTGAAGATTTGATGCATACAGCATACCAAACATACCCAAGGCACTGGTTCAACTATGTAAATAGTTTTATGGTTTACAATTGCAAATCCATGCAAATATTGCATGGGGTGTAAATCAAGACAAACACGACTACAAGTGCTTAGCAAGACACAAAGTGTTCACTTCTTTGTTGCATGTTCAAATGTTTTTTTGAAGTTTTCACATGACATACTAGATCTATAAGCTATAAAACAGAGATACTTTACTAGTAGTGCTTATAGATAGGGCCATGTACATTGTATGTGCAGTCCTTTAAGACTCTAATGCATGAATAAATTCTGGTTTTGCTCTAATAGTTATACTTATCCATACATTGTATAGTAATGCCATGGTATCATTGCCACACATCACCCTATGATTAATAATGTAATTTTATTAAGTTTTTAACTCAACATTAAAACTTCATAGCCTATATTAGCAAATTAATGTCTGTACATTTTTAAGTTATTGCTTTTTACTGAGAATTTTCTCTACATCCTTCTTTGATTTAAGCATCATACTTCCTTTTTCTTTTTGAACTTGTTCTGCATTTCCTCTAATGCACCTCTCACAACTTTTTTTGGAAGTCCCATTGGTGTACTCCAATATGACCTGTGTTTCATTTGGGTGATCACATGGATCCATATCTGTTTTTGAAGTATATACAACTGTAATTATATTTATAGATATAGTATCTTACTTGATATATTAATGTCACTGTAAACAAGCCGCTATAGTTTGCTGGGAATTGGACTGTGCTTTTTATAGCAAAAAATACGCATTATCGCTATATAATTACGGGTAGATTAAATTCATAGTGTATGTCACTAGCTGACCATAGCCAATCCCAGTTTTGAACTTCCATACTATAAGGCCAACCGTCCTTCCCACTATTTTGAAATGCACTGTTATACATGTATCTATGTGAGATTGTACAGTATTTATAGTATCAGACTTGCCATAGTGGATCTAATACTTTCTAAAATTATTTTAATATAATAGTTCTCAAGTTCATTATCAAAAGTAATGTTTCATGATTATATTGAGTTGAAGTGTTTAAAATTAGATGCATATACGTGCATTTAGTTTAAGTTATGATGGAGTGTATGCAAATACATTGTGCCATGCTATTGATAGATTTGAATTTCTCAATTCATTGTATGCGCATAACCTAAGCTTTGAACTTTATTAAATAATCATGTGTCGTCATCCATTTATGGCACAATTTTGACTGTAGTGCTATCAGTAATTTAATACAATCAGAACTTCTTTCTGAGTCATATTTAGCTCAAGTGGTTATAGAATCTACTATGTAATTATTGATTTTTATATAAATCTATATATCATGTAATGAAATAATTCATCAAAACAATTAAAATTTTCTGGAACTTGTTCTTCTCTTTGAAAATTTGTGAATAGGACAGCCTTTTAATTCATCAGAGTTCATACAAGAGTCACATAGACAATGATACTCCATACACTCAAATAAGACGACATTGTACACAGTACTATCTTCTTTACATGCTACACACACTCCATTAAGAGGCTACAAATACAATAGATAGAGTATTAAACACATATCACTCTAAGCTAGGACTTACTTCTGCCATGTCAGACAAGCTAGAGCAACAGGAAATGATGCATCATGCTATTGAGACTAACTAGCACTATGCATGTTATAGTGTTGATGACATCATACTATTGTGTAATTATACTGTTTGCAAACAGTATTAAGTTACACTCCATACTATTGAGTAAACAGAGTCTAACTAGTTCTGTACTCTCATACACACATTCTTTAACTTGTGCATACAAATGGATTACATTGGAATGCATGAGTAAATAAACTGAATTCCTTCAT